TTGATGAATATAGGTCCCAAAGTCCTTAACAAATTATTTGCAAGTCAGATACAGCAATATATAAAAAGAGTAATGCATCACAAGCAAATGTGGCTTATCCTAGCAACATAAATTTGGTTTAATATTTGAAAATAGATTAATGTAATTCAGGACATTAACATGACAAAAGGGAAGAATCAGATAATTCCTGCAATAAATGCAGAAAGAAATGGATTTTATAAAATTTAATTCCCATTCATTATTAAGAATGTCGGCAAACTAGAAATAAAAGGACATTTTTTAACCCCATAAAGGTCATCTACGGAAAACCTATAGCTATCATCACACGTGGCAGTGAAAGACTGAGAACCTCCCTCTACATACAAGAGAAGTATGTTCACTCACGACTATGGTAGACAAGTTCTTAGCAAGTACAAACAGGCAAGAAAAAGAAATACAAGGCCTACATATTGAAAAGGAAGAAATAAAACTCTCGCTATGTACAGTCAACAAGATTATATACGTAGAAAATCCTAAGACATCTACAAAGTCCCACTAGCACTAATAAATGAACTTGCCAAGTCCATAGGACCAAAGGTCTCTCTCTCTCTATAAATCAATTGTATTTGGATAATCCAGCAGTGAGCAATTAGAAAATTAAATATTAAAAACAATACTATTTACAGGAGCATCTATAAATAGTAAATACTTAAGGATAAATTTAACAAAATGGAGCAAGATCTGAACATTGAAAAATACAGAATGTTGCTGAAATGCAAAAAGTTCTAATGAAATGGAGAGATGGGCCATGTTCATGGATTAGAAGCTTTCATATTTCTATTAAAAATAAGTAAAATTTAAAAAAAAGAAGCTTTAATATTTCTAAGATATCAATTTTCTCCCAGTTGATTTCTGGAGTCAATGAAATTTCAATCAAAATCCTCACAGACTTTTTTTGTACAAATTGACAAGCATGTGCTAAATTTCTTCCCTTTTTTTTTTTTTATGGGGATGTAAATGACCTAGAATAGGCAAAACAATCTTGAGAAAGAACAAAGGGGATTTACTCCGCTTGATTTCAAGACTTTAAAGCTGTGGTGATTTTCTCTAAAAATAGCGTCCCACAAATCTTCCTTCTCTTCAAGTGCTTGCCCCTCTTTCCATCAAGTGGCGCCGTTTATTTCCCTTCTCTTCAAGTGTAGGCGGGCCTGTCTTGTGACTTGCTTTGACCAACAGACTGCACCAGAAATCACATTGTCCTCCGGACCCAGCCCTTGTGAGGCTTGCAAACTGCCCTTTTCATTTTCTTGGAACCGTGAGGTATCATGTCACTAATCTGCTAGAGATAAAGGCCATATGCCGAGCAGCTCTATTAGATGTGAGATTTATAGAGGGAGAGACAGAGAGAGAGAGATGGAGGGAGGGAAGGAGGAGGTGGGGAGAGGAGGGGTGACAGGTTGTGGGGGAGGGCATGAGGGAGGAAGGGTAGGGAAGGAGGGGAGAGAGAGAAAGAAAGGCCCAAGCAGCTTCCAGCCACGTTAGCCATCTCGGACAAGGTGCTGGACATCTGAGTAAAACCATCCTGGATCCTTCAGACCTAACTGATCTCGTGAATCAACATCATGTGCAGGAGAAAGGAGCACCTCCTGGCCAGCTCCTGCCCAAAGGGCAGAACCATGAGCAATAACCGGTTGTTATTACTGAAGTCACAAAGTTCTGGCGTGGTTTGTTACAGACCTAAAACACTGAGTGACCGAGCAAATGAAGAACACTCTCCTTTTCCTCGCGGGATGCTAGTGGCGTTACCATATTGTGCTAACATTCAAATACTCTCCCCAACTCTTTTCTATAGGTTTTCTAGTTGACAGGTAGCTTCTGTAAACACTCTTTCGAAATTAAAAGAAAGGAGATTTTTATGTAGCATGAAATCACCAGGTAATTAAAAGATCTTTCAGACGAAATTTCTGATTATAAAAGCAATGGATGCTTATTGGAATCACAATATTAAAAGAAAGAAGGAAAACATCACTCACTATCCCACAAAACCAATGTTTATCTTTTGTTACATTTTCTTCAGTCTGTTTATGCATTTATGTATTTCACACAAAAAATAATTTCTTTTATAAGTGAGATCATATTTTATATAAAGATTGCACACTATTTCATTATCAGCTCCGTATTAAGAACATGATTTGGAGATAACCGCTTACAAGGCATATCTTTTCTTGTAGGATCTTAAAACTTATAAATATCCCTCCATTCTTCCATATTAACGAGAATCTTGTTATAAGAACCAAATCGTAAATGCCTATAGAAAAATAATTTTTAATAAATATACTTTTCTATAATGTCATCTGCATATATAGTAGGCCATATATGATATAAGAAAAAGCCACTGAAACTTATCAATGTCACATGAAGTTCATTGTAGAAGATTTTATTTATCCCATTATATGATATTTTATTATAAGGATCCCACTGGACAAATTTCTTTCAATTTTGGAAATTGAAAGAATTAAAAAAATAAAAAAATTACATTTCTTCTAGATAAACTATTGTGTATGTCTTGTGAATAGGCCTGAATTTGCAAGTACTGTTTAGGTTTTCTTTTTTAAAGTATAAAATAAGACATGGGGCTCCCCTGCCAAAAGGATATCTGTGTTTTTGAAATTTGTTCTCCAACTCTGGTTTTGAATTCATTTCTTTGTCTCCACATTTAATTTTTATCTTTCAGAGATAAATTATGAATGTCTATAAACTGTCTGTAATATTTTCTGTAAACAGGTAGGATTTTAATCAATTAATTTATCCTGTCTTATTTTTCCATTTGTTATTTCCACTTATTATTGGATAGCTTTAGCATTTTTCCAAAATTTTAATAATTGCATAATATTTTATTATATTAATGCACTATTATTTAATTAACCACACTCTATTGCTGGAGATAATAGATTGGTGTTCATTTTTTACTATTACAAAAACTGTAATAAGCCACTTTGCACTTAAGTTTTTTTTCCACATATCTGATTTTTTTCTAGGACAAGAATTTCCTGCTAAAACAGTCTTGAAATATATTACCAAATTTCTTTAGAAAGACTATAATAATTTGCACTCTTACCATCAGGGTGCCTACCTTGCCAGCACTGAGTATTACCATTGTTCAAGATTTTGTTAATGTGACTAGAGGAAGGGCATTCATTAAATGATTTAATGTGCATTTCTTGGATTATTAGCAAAAGTCCATATTCCCAAAGATGCATCCTTTGTCTTATAGCATGTATTCAAGTGTCTTCTTGTCTATCTGTTCTGTAGATCTGTGTCTATCCATGTGCTAATTCTATGCTTTCAAAGAGAAATAATACTTAGTATGCAATTTTCAGTTTTTAAGAATAAGACTATTATTATCCACAACGTCCAATACTGAGACTTTCTCCTGAGGAGATAATCCAAAAATAGAAAATATTTATGTAAATGGATATCCTCTACAACATCATTTATAGTGGTGATAAAAGTGATGACAGCATGTCCCAATTGTTGAAATGGTTACGAACAATATACTTGTAGACTGAAATAGTAGATATGAAAATTATGCTTACGGAGGTTGCCAGCCATCAAGTATTCAGTTAAAATATATTGTAATATTGGGGATATTTCAAATATTAATATGAAAAATATCTGCTATACTATGCTAAATTGATAATATTGGGATAAAAAATATTATTTTCTACTAATTAAAAAAGTGAAGAGAAGAAGGTAGTTTACAAAATATTGCCGTATTTAACTCTTTTTTTTTTTTTAAAGATTTTATTTATTTATTTGAGAGAGAGAGAATGAGAGACAGAGAGCATGAGAAGGAGGAAGGTCAGAGGGAGAAGCAGACTCCCTGCTGAGCAGGGAGCCCGATGCGGGACTCGATCCCGGGACTCCAGGATCATGACCTGAGCCGAAGGCAGTCGCTTAACCAACTGAGCCACCCAGGCGCCCCGTATTTAACTCTTAATTAGTGGAATTATGGATGCTTTATATGCTCTTTCCTGGAACTTGCATTAGTCCCTGAATTTCATCATTCTATACTTCTTGTTCCCTTATAAATCTACTCTAGATTAAGGTGAAGCTATATATTGAAAAATATAATGCTTTTATTATTATTATTAAAAAGTTATTTTAATTACATTGCCTATATCCCAATCTCTGCTTATTAATACTTTTAATATCTCTTAGCTGAAAGAATTAAAAAAAAACACTGAACAGGAGAGGACTCCTATTTTAAACGTTCACTTTTCTGATGCAAAAGTTTTTTTTTCTTTTATTCTTATGTTAATCCCCATACATTACATCATTAGTTTTTGATGTAGTGTTCCATGATTCATTGTTTGTGCATAACACCCAGTGCTCCATGCAGAATGTGCCCTCCTCAATACCCATCACCAGGCTAACCCATCCTCCCACCCCCCTCCCCTCTAGAACCCTCAGTTTGTTTTTCAGAGTCCATCGTCTCTCATGGTTCGTCTACCCCTCCGATTTCCCCCGCTTCATTCTTCCCCTCCTGCTACCTTCTTCTTCTTCTTTTTTTTTTCTCTTAACATATATTGCATTATTTGTTTCAGAGGTACAGATCTGAGATTCAACAGTCTTGCACAAGTCACAGCGCTTACCAGAGCACATACCCTCCCCAGTGTCTATCACCCAGTCACCCCATCCCTCCCACCCCACCCCCCACTTCAGCAACCCTCAGTTGGTTTCCTGCAATTAAGAATTCCTCATATCTGATGCAAAAGTTTAACACAGTGTTAATTTAGGACCAAAGGAGAAGAAGAAATAATCATGTTTCAAGAGGGACAAAAAGTCAAAATTTTGACTCTCTAAATTAATAAAAATAATCCACCCTTGTGTGGCTATATAATTCATATTCTAAAACCATTATAACATCAATTAAGGTTCTATTGTCTCAGCTCACTGCATTCTTTCTGTTCAGTTTGGATTTCTCAGTGCAGGATGATTAATGAAATCTTGAAATCTACCTGTCAAATGATGGCTTCTCTCCACAGTCAAAGGCATCCTGGAGCTCCTTGACGAGGTTAGCCTGGCCTGGCAGCCGGAAGAGACCCTCTTCTTTCAGCCCCCTTTGTCGGATAAAGTCCACACACTGCTCAACCAGCATTGGAGCCAGACGGTTCCCATATCTCTTCTCATAACGGACAGTGTCTTCCAGTTTCTGTCCAAAAATGCCTGGAGGAACAAAGGCTCACAGTGAATTTGAGGAACTTATATCACCCCACTTGGTTATTTTTTTAAAATCCGCAATATAAAGGAAAAACAAAGACTGAAAGGCTGACAAGCATTTAACAATCAGTACCTCACAGTTTTCCAGAATCAAATCCATGATACACAACTCTTCAAAGGAAAAGGCTTTGCCTTACGCTGCCCTTCTCCCCTAAATTCCATATTTAGCCCCCACGCCAAATAGACATACCAAGTTGGAGATAGCCACTTTGATATAAGAAACACTGCAATAAATGAAAGTTTAGTTATTTTGTGTGGGCTCTGAGGGCCTGCAGTCCCAATGGAGTCACTGCTGTGCACTCCATGGCATCTGGAGGTGGTGTTCCTACTGATGATGACCAGATGACTGGGCTGGAAATGGAGGCCATAATGGCTGCTTGGAAGGGACTGGACTCTTTCAATAGCTAGCCCCAAAGGCAGCTTTAGGCACAAAGAAGGACTCTAATTTTGTCCCACCTCTCACTAACAAGCAAAGAGTGGGTTGTATCTATGAAGAGGACAATAGTTGCTCTCATCTCATCTGGTTCCAGCTGCACAAAGGCAAGACCCAGCAATACCCTAACTGTGGAGATTGTTACCAGCTGGTGCCCCACCAGTGGGCCCACTGAGCCTTTACACTAATGTACTCAAAATGTGCTGTAAACTTCCTTCTTTCCAAAAAAGAGTAGCCATTGTATTGGCTTCTTCTCTCGAAAGAAAGAAAGTAAGCCTCTAAAATATATTAATATCAGGTCGTAGCTTGGCAAAAATGATCAACCTATGAGGAAAAAAGGTGGGAAAAGCCAAAGCAAATGTCACTCCAATGTTCCCAGATGGGATGAATATCACTAAATAGTTTTAATGGTCTAATGGTTTCATAAAAGGGAAAGAAAAATTAGTCTTGCATGTTGAAATTATGTGAGACTCCAGAATACTTGGGGAATTATTTCAAAAACATTAGGTTAAGCATGAAAGACGATGGACTCTGAAAAACAAACAGGGTTCTGGAGGGGAGGGGGGTGGGAGGATGGGTTAGCCTGGTGGTGGGTATTGAGGAGGGCACATTCTGCATGGAGCACTGGGTGTTATGCACAAACAATGAATCATGGAACACTTCATCTAAAACTAATGATGTAATGTATGGGGATTAACATAAGAATAAAAAAAATAATAAATTAAAAAAAAACATTAGGTTAAGAATTGAACAATAAAAACAAATATTTTACCTCCCTATCTGTAAAATAATTTATGTATGGATTCAGCAATGCAAAACCATCACATTCCAAGCAATAAACGACTGCTAACGAAGAGAAAATTTTTAGCCCTTAGAAACAATAAGACAACAACAAACCAAACTATTCAACACCTGATATCAAATCTAGTATTAAGGGAATTCATATATTTGCTGTAGGAAAAAATGTTGAGTGAACTAATATTAATATTCAAATACATAGAAAGCAAAATTAGAAAATGGCATCTTCTAAGGGCAGGAAAATTAATGTAGGTAACAGGTCTATTCAGCTAAATTTGTAGACTTTGGAATAAGCAGTTTCTCAATGGTGTGAAACATTGTTTGCTAACTCAACAGACATTCATACCCCTATTTTCTCTTGTCATTTCCATTTTAGGGACTGGAAAATTAAATACCTCTCCCACTGTTTAAGAAGTCTTTGGAGTCTCTAGGAAGATTTTTGTTGTTGATGAAAGAGAAAGACAGCTGGAATTGCCAATCATTCCTTTTTTTCTACCATGAACTTGGACATGCTATCTGTTGATCTAAGAGTCATCTTTTGACTATTAGATAGTAATCATGAGGGAAAGCCTGAAAGGTTCAGAGACAATGGGGATGAAATCATTGAACCACTGACCCAATACCGGCAGCACCTTCTTTATGATTTTTTTTAATGTGAGACAAATGCATGTTTAACCACTGTTAGCTGGGTTTTCTGTTGCTTGCAGCAATACCAAACTCTAACCCATACAGTGGTAATAATGACTTTGAAGATATTTTAGTGTTTTAATAACAAAGCTTGAAAATTGATTATGAATGGAGAATACTGACTCTTTTTCTGTGGAGTTCTTTTTTGTTTTCCCCCCTGTGGAGTTCTTTGATGCTTATTTGCCTGAGATGTTTGGATTCTATTCTGTCAAAATTAAGAAAATAGCCTTTCAAAGGCACTAATAGTTTATTTATTTATTTTTAAAAGATTTTATTTATTTATTTGACAGAGAGAGACACAGCGAGAGAGGGAACACAAGCAGGGGGAGTGGGAGAGGGAGAAGCAGGCTTCCCGCGGAGCAGGGAGCCCGGTGCGGGGCTCCATCCCAGGACCCTGGGATCATGACCTGAGCCGAAGGCAGACGCTTAACGACTGAGCCACCCAGGCGCCCCACTAATAGTTTATTTTTTTTTTTAAATAACAATATTGACATCTGGGAATACATCTTATGTATCTGTGGTTTTACACTTACTGTTTTAGATTGATAAATACATTATCTAAAGTTTCTCTCTAAATCCAGCAGAAAACCTACTAAAGATGTTGCAACTCAACATCTCTGTGTGCTACAAATAAGAACCAAACTTCCAAGACTTTGTTTTATACAGTAATAAAAAACAAACATTCTTTTCTTAAAATTCTCAGGATTTCTTTTTTCCCAGCAACTTAGGGACATGATAAAAGAAGCAGTAAGTTTTGTTTTATGGCTACTCTGGTTTCTCCTCTTTCTTCCTTTTTTCCTTCCTTCCTTCCTTCCTTCTTTTTTGTACATACAGCTTTGTGTTGTGGTAAGAATTCACTTAAGAAGTATAGCAAGAAACGAAAAGGCAAAAGCCCTAACATCTTTCCATTTATTAAGGACCTATTACATACTAAGTCCTTGACATATATTCTCTTATTTTCATAATAAATATATAAGGTAACTATCTTATACATGAGGAAACTGGGGCTCAGAGAGATTAAGTGATTAGCTCAAGGTGAATTACACAACCCCAAGTATTGGAATAGAAGTCCATATCCAGATTTATTCAGCCTTAAAACCTTTGCTCATTCCCAAATACCAGTCCTCTTCCTCTTTATTTAATCACAATGACCATATGTCCTCATTTTCTAGTAATTCAAAATATTAGTAAATTCTAAAAATGAATAAAATAGAGTATCTTTTTTGAGCTCTAAAAAGTGATAATAGCGAAGATGTACTTAATGTATGTCAGGCATGGGTACAAGTGGTTTATCTGCATTTCTTTCATTTAAAACTCACAGCATTTTATGAGGTGGTCACCACTATTTTACCAAGGAGGAGACTGAAGCACAGAAAGGTTAAGTGACTCGCTGAATGTCACATAGCTAGTAAATGATGGAGCCAGGATTTGTTCAGGGCTATTGGATTCCAGAGCCACTCTGTATCTATTACATAATACTGCACACTGGCTGAAAAATGAGTTACTGAGGAGAAACCTGCTGCTTACTAGCTTTCTGACCTAAATTTCTGTCATCACACTAGCAGGAGTAATTTCTGCTGAGAAAATGCAAATTTGGAGGAAGATCAGGAAAAAAAAATAGAGAAGGAGAAAACTGAACATCTTATGCATCCTGCCCAAGGAAATGATTTCCTTTATGTAAAGAGCTATGTCTATTTAGCAATATAATATGTAAGAGAGTTAAAGCATGTAGATGATAGATACACATGCTTAGAGATTCCTGTGGAAAATGAATAGTTTTCTGCTGTAAGTCTGGTCTCGCGAAGAATTAGTAAGTGATTATAATAAACGTATCCTTCCCAATTTGTGGCATTGGAAATAGAATGTCTCAACCATCTCTGTCTTATAATGGTAGATGTGAATTAATGTTCTATATGAGCATGTTTTTTGTGTGGAAGGTTAGGGGGAAATTTTTTTTAAAGCTGTTTTGTTTAGCATTTTCATTGAGGAAGCAGTGAAACTTCAAATTTTAAGATTAACAAGAAAGCACAAAGGTCATGAGCCTATCCCCAACTAGCAGCATGGGGAAAAGGACACACTGACTAGCAGATTATTAACAAGAATATACTCTGTGATGTGAGTCATGCAAATGGTTCTAGCTATATCCATTTAAATTCCCGGGGAGGCTTCACACTACCTGACAAAACCATCCCTGGAATTTCTAGGTGACAAAGGTACATCATGTGTACTTCCTTTGGAAGTACATTGATGGTGTCATAAAGCATCACCAAGGAGGTGACTTTTCACTGGGCTGAGAAGGTAAATTACACAGGTGATTTTTTTATACCTGTGGGAGGCTGTTCCAACTGGAGATAGAGAGATCTAAATCTCCTTCAGGATTTGTGACGTTCCTGCTTTATGTGTGATTTATACACTCAATAGCTAGAGGCAGCCTGTGAAGTTAACTGAGTGTGATCAGATAAATATATTCATATTCCACCGATCTTAAATATGAATAAACAAACACAAAGCCAAACCTTCTTGGATTTTCTGTGCCTTGCAATTATTTATTCTTTTTGCTCCTTGGTTCCCAGTTAAGTATAACTCCGGCTCCATTTCATCACTTTCTGTCCTTGCCAACCTATTGCAATTTGGACTCTGACACTGCCATTCTACTAAAAGAGCTTTTTCTATAGTCATCGATAACTTCCTAGTTGTCAAATCACTGAAAGCCAAATTTACTTTTTGTATTACTTCATGCCTCACTCCCTTTAAAACTGTCAATGTCACTCTTCTTCCTGACACTTCTCATGTGTTACATAGTTCTTGCCTTCCAGAATACTCTTATCAATCTCCTTCTTGACTGTGCTACTTACTACAACCTTCTCATAAATTTGTTGGTCCTCTGGGTTCTGTCCTCAGCCCTATTTTTATGCTACTTGACACAATTTCTTTGCTTGACTACATTTAATCTCACTGTCTAACAGTTATTCCCAGATCTGTATCTCAGTTTGGGCCACTCTTACGATCCTTGGCATTGGATTTCTAA